CCCACATTAACCCATGGCCGTTGGCCTGCATGTGAGGTAACGTGGGGGACACTCACACACGTTCTGGGGTCAGAGGCCGGATTTGGCCAATTGGAGTTAAAGGAGACGTATTTAAACTCCTTTCTTGCCTTTCCTCTTTGCCCTGTCGTGGTTTCCCTTAGTGGTTGTCCAAGAGTGTGTTCCTGAGCTTTTATTTTTTGGTTAGTGACTTTGGCTTTGTTTTGACCTCCCTGTTTTCTGGTATCCTTGACTTTTGGCTTTCCCTCATCATTGTGTCTCATTCTGCGTCCCCATCCTCGGCAAGTATCCTGACTATTCTCCGGTACGTTAAGTCTGGCCATTCTAAGGCCCGGTAAGACATTACCTTTAGTCCTAGGTGTGATACAGTTCTGCATGCTGGATCAACTAGTAATCCTGACAGGTATCTTTTCTTTGTGGGTGATCATAGACTTTGAAGCCTGTTTTGTGTGGGAGTGGAGTATTGAGGATAATGTCTCCTTTGGTCTTGCTCCTTGCCTGTTTAAAGGATGCCAAATATTTTTTATTTGTTGTTAAATGCTAGACACATTATTTTCATTATGTACATTATCATTTGCTCTAAAATAAATTAATAGTAAGCATTATTACAGACTTTTACATTTACTGAATGTACAATATGGTACAATATGCTGGGTGAAATGTCTGTCAGCATGTCCTTTAAATATTGTTAACATTATGTTAAACAAAAAATAAAGTAATTTAGTAATTGACATCAAATCAAGTCTGTTTTGCTGTCATCATGGTGACTGAAAGAAACCTGGTTAAATTTTAGTATATATATATATATATAAAAAAAATTTTTTTTTAGTAAATTTAAAATCCTGCCATAAAATCTTAAAGTGGCACTTCAGAGCCCAAAAATGCTTTAGTTTGCTAAAGTGCTTTAAGAGGCCTCCCTGTTCATTTTACAAAATCGCAATCATTTTTTTGGGGAGCTTTGGTCTTTCAGACAACTTTATTAATACTAAGTATAAACAATGTGCTGTGTGTAGAGGCATGTCTACTAAAACAGCCAATGGCTGCTCACTGGCAAAAGAAAAGATTAACAACTGGGTTGCTATTGTTTCCCAGTTGCTAATCAAATAAAGGGGAGATCTGGCACAGGTCCTCTATGCCATCCTGGCAAGACACCAGCTAAAATAATTAACTTGGAAGGATATAGTATCCCCCTTTGCCCGTATCTGTGCATCCTCTAGTGGGGCTATAAAATAAAATGAACGAGGGGAGGGGCATACTGTACTTCTATGCCCCCAACCATTTGTGCCGTGTTAGGCTCTAAATAACAAGGTCAGTGAATCAATTGTTCCCCCCAGCCCTTACCTACTGGCAACAGGTGGGAGCCCTAAATAACAAGGTCGGTGGACCCTTCAGTCCTAATTCATTGACTGTGGGTGGGGGCTCCAAATACCAGAAAGCATAACTATAAAGATTACAATTAATATTTTTAAAACTGTATTCTCTCACTTCAGATTTCTTTTTTGATCTAGATAAATTATAACCTAATTTTCCCAACTCAGAATTGCCATTGCAAAAATGCCTGATATTGTGTAGCCATTAGGCAGGAAATATTGTAGCAATTTTGAATGTCAGCACAGTCATAGACATTTCCCTCTCCCAATTTTTTCTGCCTATATTGTTTTCCTATTTTTCTTCAGTACTCAAATTCAGTGACTTAATTCTGCTCCCTCAATTTTTTTCTTTCTAATTTCAGTTAGAGATTGTAGCCATATTAGTCCAGTGATGTAGATGTAAAAAAAACAGATACAATTTGTATCCTGTAATACCTTTTTTATTAGACTAACAGATTTTTTTTAATGACAAGCTTTTGGGAGAACCTTTCTTTCTCAAATCTAAAGCATTTCTCTTATTTCAGTTAGAAAGACAACAAAAAGGCGTTTATGGTTTTAGTAAAAACGTGGTAAAATACCACTATACCCTCCATGCTAGAAATTATGTCATGTGTTAGCTTGCAATGGTGCATGTGTTGTCAATTACTACCACTTCTCAAAAGATTAATTTTTTTAATTTGTTTTTGAACATTTTTTTCCCACACAGAAACCTACTTTACTCTCATAAATCTCTAACGAACATGACCACCTTTAGCATATCTCCATTTTAACGTAGCCTCTCACTACAAATCTCTATCTCTCCCTTAAAAACTAGTAATTATGGGTGGATATTTTGCTCTAATGGACTACATGTGCCCCGTATGTATGTATGTATGTTTGTTTTGACATATACTTTGTCTCTTATGCAATGCAGATTATTTTCTATCACTATCTCTATGTCACTAATGTTTCGCTGTTGTGCCTACAATAATTTTGTGCCTCAACCTTTTTGCCTCTTCTCCTGAGATGGTAGCATTTGGATCCATTTATCTTCAAGTGCCCATAATATCAATATTTTTTAAGCAGCATTGATTTGATACAAATGTAATATGGCTATAAATATTAAGTATTTCATGTCCTTTACTGTTTTTAATTATTATGCTACCGTAGCTACAACTATATTAGGGTACTATAATACAAAGACTTCAAAATAATATATTTTTTATATATTTTTGCTGACCCATTAAACATAATTTAAGATATATATATATATATATATATATATATATATATTTTTTTTTTTAAATACAGTGTTTATACTTATCAAATCATTTTGTTGCAGTGTATAGTTCCGAATAGATCTTCAAATGCAATGGGCACTGACTAAACATAGGTAGGAAATTGATAGAAGATAAATAAAACACTACTCAGAGCAATTCATAAATGCTATATAAAAATAGATTTGGTTTTTGGAAATTAGCTGCAAAAGAGTTATTGAAATGGAAAGATGTAAAATTGAGAATTTGAAATAGAATAGCATTGTAAGCTATTGAAAGAGCTGAAATGAGCTATGGGGACGTGTTCAAAGAAAACAATTAGAAAAATACTATTAATCTTGATCTATAGATGTATGCTATTTAGTAGTTGAGTGGTTCTTAAATATTAGTTCATAATATGGCTAGTTAGGACAAATTAGCTAAGCTGCTCTCCATCTGTAAACCAGGCTATTTGACTGCAATCAAAAGCCATTGGATAAAAATCTGAATTGTAAAAGGGCATAATGGTATAATTAGAAGGAAGAAGGATGATTATAACATATCACTATCAAGTTATTTCAATTTATTTTATTATGTGCTCTAACTAAAAAGACTAACATCAGCAGATGTCACCATATTATCTTATTTTGGTTCAGAGAAAAGAAAAATATTGGCTTTTTTTGCTTATTTTTCTATGCAACGATTTAAGAAAGGCATCTTAAAATGTAATCAGGACATTTACATAATAATCATCCAGAGTTATGATGCATTGTTCAGAATTAATTATCAAGTGACCATGCAGTGCTTTACTGCTGAATTTACCTTACTTAGGACTTTCCAAATGAGTCAATACTTTTGGAAAAACCTACCTACAAAACTCACTATGAAAGCCTTTGAAATAAATCCTTGTGAGAGTTTTTGAAAATGTTTTGACAATACACCCATCACATGCATAGATTGGATAGACATCTATCCTTGCTCACTTTACCTCCAGAAAGAGCCTAAACCCTTACTGAATACATGGATGGTTATCACAACATAACTGCAAAACTGTAAACCATGCTCACAATATAGACACATTGCAGCTGTGATATGGCTTTTATCACCATCTTATTCAACAGTTCCACTCATCTTATGTCAGGAGTGGGACTATGGCAGGGGGCTAACCAATATAGTACACAAATCCCTGTTTAAAAGGTAATCTACAATTGGTGGACTGTATTCTTGTTACAAAGGCTGCCTGCTACAACTGCTACAATTTTAGAAACCTTGAGAGGGCACTTTAATCATTGTAGGGGTTATGGTGTTATACCTATTTGGGTACCATCCTCAGATTGCTTTGACCAAAACTGGGTGCATCCATGTCATCCCATACCCCACCAACTCTTCAGCTGCACTGATTACATGGAAATTCCAATTCCACCTTATGAAATTTGATTCTGTTTAAAATGCGAAGTATAATCTGAGGACACTTGGGTAATCCACCCCTTTCTTCCAATTTAATTAAAATTGTGAGCTCTGCATAGTACTACTGCCCAACAGGTAGTCTGTTTCAATAGCAGAAGTGATTTGCATTATCCTGGGAACACTATGTCCCCACAGATAACAGCATACATGGATATTTACTGCATTGATTTTGGAAGCAGAGTGTGTCTCAACTCCACATTTTACTACCACATGTACAGCCTTTGCAGGGACCTACTCTTCCTTTTATTAAATCTGATCAAGAACAGGGAATGTGCTAACATTTTATACAGTCTTTGTTCTCCTTTGAATTGTAAGCTGATCTACACCTTTCCAGCTCCTGTCTTGTGTTTTCATCGTCTAAAATATATGTGATATATATATATATATATATATATATATTAGAATATATATCATAAATTATGTGTAAAGCTCCCCTTTAAATTACTTTTTAATGAATAAGCATATACTAAAGATAAACATATAAAAGTCATTCCGATAAATATTATATTGTTCATACTCAGACACATTTTAAATATTAAATGTACCATTTAAAATGCATTATACAAGCAGGTTGTTTGGAAACCTGCAGTAGTTTTAAACATCTGACTATTTTTCATCATGAGTTCTGATGCTGGTCAGTGTTAGAACTTGATAAATCTGACATGTCTTGTGCTTAACATTGAAAAATGTGTTTATCTCAGTACACCGTTTGATAAATAGCTTGGAAATAAATATGCAAGGGAATTGGTTAAAGAAACACTGCTCAACCATAGATAAAGTTGGTTATCAATTTCTCAGTTAAAAATGAGCTTGTTTGGAGGCAGGGCTGGACCTCCATGCTGTGTGGACGCATGGACAAGCAGCTCCAACGGCTTTTCTGCTATTAAGTGCACCAAAGCAGATAACTTACCTGAACAAAGCCGGGAAACAGCGGTCCATGCTGTGGAGCGGTGCTGGTTCTTGGGCTGGGCCTGTATATTGCCTCTCAGTCTCTGGAAGGGAGATCCTCGGTCCCTGTGACTGGGGCCTGCTCCGGTGGTGAGTGAAGTGGACATCCACCACACCACTATCCTGCCCACTTAATGCAGGACGCTGCATGTCTAGCTGACAGGAGGGAGAAAGCTGACTTTCCCTTTTTAAGCACCAGGGTCCTTTTGAATAACCCTAATCCAACACCTCAACCTGCATTCTAGTGATGAGCAAAAGACAACCTACCACGGGACCAACCAGCCGGGTCCAATTGAACAGCCACAGATCCAGTCCTGAAGCAAGCCACAGCTGGAGGGAGATATCGGGAAGGAGCATGGCACACCTCAGAGTCCTAACCCTGCATCTACCCAGAAAGCCAGAACTCTGCTGGGGAAAACGCTGCTCTCATCAAGCCCTCTCCACCACACCATCTGGAAGACACACCTGACAATGCTGGCAGTAAAACCTAAGCAGCATTTCAGCCACTTACCTTTCTCCAGTGCAAGGCTCCCTCAGCACTGGGGAACTCTCCTCCCTCTGCCGACGTCAGCTCTGAATGCGCATGCGCGACAAGAGCCGCGCACGCATTCAAACCGCCCATAGGAAAGCATTACTCACTGATTTTCACAGTGAGAATCGCGAAAGCGCCTCTAGCAGCGGTCAGTGAGACAGCCGCTAGAGGCTGGATTAACCCTCAGTTAAACATTAACCCTCTCTGAAACTGCTGTTTTCAACTGCAGGGTTAAAACTAGGGGGACCTGGCACCCAGACCATTTCATTGAGCTGAAGTGGCCTGGGTGCCTATAGTTGTCCTTTCAGATCTGGACTTTTCTTAATGCTTACTTTAGAGTGGGGGGGGCTCCCCTGGTTTATACATTTCTAAGCATGTAACAAGCTACCTGACCTCCTTCAATCACTCTTTGACACTCCTTCACAGTGACTATACTCTTCCTAGCTACCTGTATTCCGTTTTCAAGTCTAGCACTGTATTGATTTACGCTATCATCTTCTATTACTCCTTCGACTACCTTAGTGTCAGTCTTCACAGCATGCATTCATTTTTCCTCTTATCCACTCATGTACAGACAACTTACTTTAGCATGTTTAACATTTAAAAATGTGCAGATCTGATTTCGAACAGCAATATATTTTCTCTGGAAATACTTGTGTCTGCTGTTGTTGCATACCAAGCTTGTCTGTTAATCTTTTGCACAATAAAATAAAGAATTTAAATTAAAAAAGAGCTTGTTTATAGAAGGTAAACAATTATATATTTGGATAATATAATTGCTGTTTTCCAGGACAACTATTTATTTGCTTGTTTTTTTTAACTTAGTACCGACATTCTCTATTCAAGTCACCACTGTGACTGCTTGATATTATTAATTACAACATTGATGGGTAAGTTTACTGTGTAGAAGGGGAAAAAGGGGAAAGGAGGGGAAAGGAAAAGAAAGAGCACTGACATGGTCCCTGATAGCTAAAGCCCAGGGCATTCTCAGCTAAGCTAAACTTACTTTTGCTGCTGGTGCGGGTTACCACATACCAAGTGGTTAATGTTACCACTGGGGAGGTGGGGGAAGGACGGGGTTACAACATATTTTTAAAGACCACTAAAGGTGACAAGGCTGAGTTAACCCCAAGGGATAAAGGCTGGAAATATTAATAATGAATCTTGTTGTGGTATCTGGAATATGGATTTGTAGACTATTCTTAATACAGTCAATATGTCTGAGTTGCCAGCACAGATTGTTCAAAAACAACCAAACAGATCATGGCAGGTATGAGAATGTGAATAACGTTCAACTCCCTCCACTCAAAACAAGCAAGCAAAAACCTAAAAAGTCTATTTTGCCTTTATTTTAGAGAAATAAATATGGCAGGTATCCTTCACATTTTGTTCTTCTGAAAGTATTTATGAGTATGTTTTCCATAAAGTATACTAGTGAAATCATTATTATTGGATATTTAATAAGTATATATGCTTTTAGATCAATGTGATCTTATATAAGCCTATGCTCAGTGAACACCACAATCATTCTAGGCAAACAAGCCATTTACAGTACAGTGCTGGACTTTGCTATATTATCTCTTCTGGGATATAAATTTTGAAAACTGTCGATTGTTTAGATTGGTGTAATGCTAAGAAGCTTGCTCAGTGTCTGACTCGGTCAAAGCTCTGATATTTTGCCCTATTGTCAGAAGTAACACGTTGTATAAACACAGATTTCTATAATACAAGTGTCAGGTTAGTAGTTAAATAGAGTAGATTATTTCCTTGATGCGCTCTGTGTTAAAAATCCATGACTTGTCCTTCTTTACAATTGAATTGGAACCCTATTTTCCCCAACAGTGGCTTTCTGTTGTAAGGAATTTCAGAAAACTGCTTTAGTAGGATTTATGTAATATGATTATTTGAATCCTATTTAAATCTCCTTTGATCATTTTGAATAAAGAAAACATTGGAGACATCTACAGCATTTGATATAGCTCCATGTTAGTAATACTGTGTCAAGATACATGTGTAATTTTTTCCATTTAATATATAATGTATTTGTTATAAAATGTTAATCATTAATTAAATGGCATAGACATTAAACCTGGCATGCCTTTACTGATATTTATAATTTATAATTTAAACATGTAATTTAATTTGGACGTACTTTCTCACTCTTCCAAAATAGTGATTTGATGTATAAAGTTATTAAAATCCTTCACTACTGAGTTCATAGCATTAATATTTAAAGATCAACATTTATTTAAGAACAGCATGCCACGCAAACAAAATAAAATTTGCATAGATTGCTGTCCTTTAAACAAGTTCCAAAAATATAAACTGACACATATTTTGTAAAATACAGTAGGTATGAAATTGTAGCATACAACTATTCAAATAACCTTATATTCTTAAAGGTAAATTGTACATTAAAATTCATGTTTCAACATACTTGTATAAAGCAGTTAAAATAAAAATATAGGTTTATTTGTTTTTCACAATTATTTTACTGGAGTTCTAAAAGGCCCATTCTTTTTTTTTTTTTTTGCCTTGCGCTTGATTGCTTGCTGGCATCTGCCCAACCAAATGCTTTAAAATAAAAACATATAACATTATATACATCATATAACATTATTAAATAATTCTAGCTGCTAGAAACACAGAGAGGCTAAATGTTCCCTCTCTCTGACTGCCTTGAAGATTGCTAGCTAAACGGCTAACTAACTGCTAGAAACATAGAGAGGTTAAATGTTCCCTCTCTCTCACTGCCTAAAGCGCGTTTCGTCACTGATCACAAGTGCCTTCGTCAGAGGCATCAAGCATGGACCAACACCGGCCGGTGTGTTTATACAAGACACAGACCAATAGGATAGGGGGCGTGTGATTGCCTGTTGGCGCCAAAAACGTCGTTCAAACAGATACCGCCCACCCATGTCCGTATCCCTGGAAGATGAAAAAGTCATATATAGGAGATTAACCCCTTGAGGGCTGTTGTAAATGTATAAAGGTTAAGTTTTAATACATTCAATATAGGCAGGAGCTTCCTTTTGGGTTGACCCTGTGGGTCAAGGCAAGGGGGAGTTGTTTCTTCTCCCTCCTTCCTTCCTCCTAGTCTTCTCCATTTTTTCTTTTGTTTAGTCGCTACATATAAGGGTTACCCCCTAACTTAGGTTGCCCTGGACACACATTCGGTTGATTTTTCCTTTTCGGTTATCAGCTGCTTTTTACCTTTTCTTTTCTTTTTTTGCTCTAACTATAGCAGGTTTCAATACCTCAGTGTGTCCTGTTCCTCTCTCCTTATAAACTCAACACTATGGCCAGTTTTTTAAACCAATTAAAAGATCCAAATCAATGGTGCTTGGATGCCGAAAAGGTGTTCTCAGAAAAAGAGAGCATCTTTTCATCACCTGATATGAGTATTGAATCAAAATTTAGACACCTGTCCAATCTCTGCAAACAGATTAGAATGGGGTGGGAAATATCATCCTTACAGAACTACCTCAGTAAATCCATGATAACAAGGGGTCTACGGGTACAAATTATGCCAAATATTAACATGGATGATACCTCCCTCCTGAAGGAATGGGAAGAGGCGGCAAATCGGTGTTCCTGAACCTTCATGGATATTATATGTAGATTTGAAAATAAAAGGTTGACTGAAATTAATGACAAAGTAAAAGAAGCAGTTGAAGCTACCCAAAATCATAAAGAAGATCTTAAGTTTAACACTCAAGAGTCAAATCTCCAACAAAATTTGAATAGGTACAGGGACTCCATCAAGAATAGAAAACACAGAAAATTCTTAAGGGACCATCAAGACTATAAAAATTATAAGGTATACAGAAAATTTAGTAAGACAACTCGTGTTGACTCAGATCATCATATTACGTCTGAATATGAGACCTCAGACACTGATAACGTGGATAATAATATATCCACAGTGTCTAATACTAATGAACAATCAAAAAGTATCCTTAAAAAAGGGGTTACTTTTTTAGGGCTAAACCCCCGAGAGGGGGTATCCTCACTTCAACACAGACAGACACGATACAGGGGGAGGGCATGGAAACGTTACTAGGCACAAATACCAAAATCCTCAATCTTTCCAATACTTCGCTCACAGATATACAACAACAAGTACTTATGAAGGGGCTATCTTTTGTTCCAGTACCTCCCTTTAATAAATTTGAATGGATAAAAGATATCCACCTATTTGGTAGATGCTTGGCACTACATAAATTCTTTCTCTCCATCAATGAAAAAAGAGCCAAAGATTTGGGCTTTACTGTGAGAGAATATCAACGCCTTAATGATTTGGTGTCCCTCTTTGAGGACAACGATCACACAACTACACAATCCTACACAAATCTTTGCCCTAAAAGTAAATTTACACCCAGTTTTAAGGAGTTTAATAACATTGATATGTTCGTAGAATCAACTTGTAATATGATTAACAATTTAAAGGTTAATTCTCTAATACCTTATCCACATAGCAATCTTTCAGGGGAGGAGTGGGGGGCCCTCCGTTCCCTGCAGGACAACGAGGATATCATCATAAAACCTGCAGACAAAGGGGGTAATGTCGTTGTACTTGATAAGACACATTACGTTCAGCTAGCTTTGAATATACTTAAAGATG